ACCACGATATACATAATACTCTGTGTAAACATGGCTTACAGAGACGAGGTTCTTATGCAAACGAGAAATGCACACAAGTTGGCACCAGTGGAAATTGTCCGTATGTCCAGGAAATATGTATGAAATACATGTATATATATTATATATATTATATATATATTATTATTTCATATATATATTCATATATGTATGAAATTGTCCAGCAGAGGTAATGGAAAGAACTTGTTCAGAGTAAGAAATGCAAGCAAAGACTTCGTTCACAGATTGAAATACTTAGACTCCATTCACAGATTTATACAGACTTCATTCACAGATTTACACAGTCAGATTCCGTTCACAGATTCGAATTTATATATGAAAGCTATCAGTAGATTCCGCAATTTATACATTACTGAGAGGAGGAACCCACGTACTAAAGCTCAATTCCTGCACGCACAGTTAGGTGAATAAAGGCATTTTGAATATTATCCATATTCTAAATGAATTAAGTTCCTTTATTGAGAATCTAGTTCAGGGACTCCTATTGCTCATCATGTGTCTACGTTTTCCATGAAGACCAAGCTACTAACACACTCAAAAATGAAAGAAATATGATGTAATATAAATACTGATACAAATATATTCTAAACCCCTAAAGAAGTATATCTAAAAGCTATATTTTTATCAACGTTCTAGTGCATTATATATAATTACATTCATAGTTGAGAGAGAGAGAGAGAGAGAGAGAGAGAGAGAGAGAGAGAGAGAGAGAGAGAGAGAGAGAGAGAGAGAGAGAGAGAGAGAGAGAGAGAGAGAGAGACAGAGACAGAGACAGAGACAGAGACAGAGACGAGAGAGAGAGAGAGAGAGAGACAGAGACAGAGAGAGCACAACATTAGACGCTGCAGAATGTTGATCAGATAAGATAGCGCCACCCCTCGTAAAACCACTCTCTATCTTCAGTATCAATCCAGGCTGAGGACTGTGCGCAAGTCACACACGCACCCACAAAATTTATGAGTGTATATGCGTGCGTGTATGTGATGCATACCGCTGGTGTGTTGTGGTGTTCGTGGCTGGTGACGGCATCCATTAGGGTTCAGGCGTTACGGTTACCCTCAGGTGAGTCACAGAACTGAGGGGATGTGAGGGGATGGTGTGAAGCTTTAGGAATACAGCTGAGAGTGAGGATGGCTGTTAGGGAAGCGGATGAGGAGTGTGAGTGGCGCTCGGGAAGCATATGAGGGATATAGATGGTTAAGGCAGTGTCTGGGATGCTCCCGGACGCAGGTTCGAATCTTCGTCACGGCCCTTGTGGATTTGTTCATTTATAAATGGTTGTTAGAGAGGCATTTGAAAAGTGTAGACGGTCCCTCGTCCAAGCTGCGGCTGTTCTTAAGACGCATTCATCAATTATTTCGACGCATTCATCAATTATTTCGTTCACTAATAATACACGATGTTTCTCATATAAATAATATTATTATGCATTTAAATTTGTATGTATCGTTAGGCCTACGGTAGGCTAGGTTATAGGGTCTTGCTCTCTTGGCAATTATATATTTACAGTACAGAAATTAAGTATTTAGAAAGGTGTAATTCCACACACACCGGAGCAAATTAACTTTGAGGAAAGTATAAATATAATTAGTTGTGTCACGTCTTAGGTTATTTTAATTCGTAGCCAGGAATGGCAGCTGCTGGATTAATGAACATTTAGCCAAGGTTATTCAGAATTGGCTGACCTGAGACCTATAGCGGACCTACTACTATCCTGATTTCTTGTTTGGTACTTTATTCTACAATGATACGTATATGAAACTTCATGAAACCTGAGGATGGGTTGGTCACAGAGAAGGATAAAACAGTGCCTACCACAGAGGTCTCTGTGTATTTGGGGCACATCTCCTGATGCGATATTGAGTTGGGCAGAAGTTTGCCGTAACATAGATTATGAACAAATCCACAAGGGCCGTGACGAGGATTCGAACCTACGTCTGAGAGCATCCCAGACGCTGCCTTAATCGACTGAGCTACGACATGGTAATAAGAATTGCAACCAGAAATTCTACTGAATTTACTTGGATCCTGCAGCCTCTCCGAGACACAAACCAAGATTTGTTCATTTGATGCATCACGCAATTGTGATTTCTGTGTGTAATAGATTATAAAGCTAAGAAAACAATACGGATGTTTTCACATTGTCTCCAACACAGGATGCAAGATTCAGGAGCTGGGCGGCCGGGCGGAGGACTTCACCGTGTCCTATCCGCTCATCAGCACCCTCAATGTCCTTCTCAAGAGTCCTAGCAATCCCTGGCGGGCGTTCTCTTTTGGATTTGAGACAAGGAGCGGCAGCACCATCGGGGCCCTGACTTTCACCAACGAGGACACCGTCGCTCTCACACTGAACAACCGAAGAGACGATGAAGATGAGGTGGTGAACCTCTCGAGGGCCGAGTCCCTCCACTTGCGCCTCGAAACCTGGACGTTACTCTCCCTCTCCGTAAGAGACGGGAAGCTCACGGTGGCAGTGAAGGACGTCCTCCAGGTCGTCTTCCACCTGGTGGACGCCACGCCTTTCGAGCGGGTTTTCACCCATGTTCTTCTCGGCAACTACATCGACGTTGGCATGGACTGTGCTCAAGGTACGCTCCCTAAGCTGCTTAATTAATGAATAAAACACATTCCAGCGTGTTTAACATTCGAGTTACTTTAATATAATTATATTTACGTGTGACTAACATCAGACTCAGAATTCTTAATAAAATAGATATAATGATTACTTGCGGTGGATTCACGACGATTTGGAGGGTTGGATCCTAAGCGTGCTGGAGGATTGGATTCCTGATGTGTTAAATGATTAGATTCCTCGCATGCTGAAGGGATGGATTTGTAGCATGCTGAAGGGTTGGATTTTCTTAGTGTGTTGTAGAACTGGATTACGAGAATGGTGCAATTTTTTTGTATAAAAATGCATATATTTAATTTGTTAATAATAGACAGTGATAGGAAATAGTTTTAATAAGTTTTAATAAGTTTTAATAAAATTCAAAATATGTATGCCTAATTAGTGGCCGTGGCAGGAATGTTTGGCATTGTAATAAATATTGAGTTAAAGGAATCGGGGCTGAAGTCCGCTGCATGAGTATATTTACAATGTTAATTGCCGAAGTCTGTAAAGTTATGTTGATGTAACTGTTGTGTCCCAGTACAGCCTGGCCTCTCACCTAACACCTCGCATTTTTTAACGGAATCGAGCAATCCGCTACAAATTCGACGTATTAGGCAAAATTAAATGACCGTAATATTGACTTTTCTATGCATCGGCTTCGATAGGTTAGGTGGGTTGCTTGAGCTCGTACGTTTGAGATTAGGCTAAACTATTGTATTTTGTAAGGCGTGGCATACCGAAAGAACGGGTTGTCTACTCACCATTACTGTCCTTATATCTTGTGCAGGCAGTACACAGCGCGCCGCCACCACCACCACCACCTCCCCGCCTACACACGCCCACCATATCCACGTTGTGGTTATTGTGGTGAGCTTCCTCTTGGCTCTCCTGGCCTCAACCACTGCCCTCTGGTACTGCAAGAGGAGAAAACACAAACAATTACAGAAGTGTAAAACAATAGGAGAGGGGGAAAAGAAGATTAAATTAGATGCTGGAGATAGGGAGAGTGCGGAAGACGCAGAGTGTCAGCCACTTGAAGCCAGCTGCGGCGTTCATGCCCAAGGTGGCCACGGTGTAAAAAATGGCGACCAAAATACCTTACGTTGTTCCCAGGATACCATGCAAAATGATAACTGTGCTGTCGATAGTAGGCAGCAAGTCACTGCAGTAGGAGAGTGCCACGGTGACCGACTTTCCACTATACATCAACCAATGTCGAGAAACTCGCAAAATGACCAATACACCCTCCACCATACTTGCGATACCGAACCGGGCAGCTGGTCAAGCGCAGCAGGCGATGAAGACGAAGGAACATCTTTTCCAAAAGAAGACACAGAATCCAACCCCGCAGCGAGGGATCAGAGTGGTGGAGCCTTGCCTAAACGTACACGATCCCAACAACAGCAGCAAACTAAAGCCAGTGGAACTTCGAGTGCCAACGCTTTAGAGCCACATGTGAGAGGTTCCTTAACTCTGATCCCACCTTCAACCCGTACAGCCAAGACCCACACATACAAGCAGCCTACAACAAGTGAAAGAGAACAAGGTGACGATAACAGCCATTACAGGACCGATACAGAACCAGCGATGGATGAAGCCAAACCTCGGACAGACTTCCCAGATACAGCATCAGAGAAAATTAATACCATCTCTGGGATACAATCACAAGGCACAGCACTTTTGCAGGATACTGCCAGCTCTGGGACACAGTCACAAGGTAAAGCACCTACAAAGGATAACGCCAGCTATAGGACACAATCTCAAGGCACGAAACCTTTGAAGGATAATGCCAGCTCTAAGACACAATCACAAAGAACAAAACCTTTGAAGGATAATATCAACACTGGAATGCAATCACAAACTATACAAATGGTCCCTGAATTATCGAATGTTACACAAACGGTCCCTGAATTATCGAATGTTACACAAACGGTCCCTGAATTATCGAATGTTACACAAATAGTCCCTGGATTATCGAATGTTACACAAACGGTCCCTGAATTATCGAATGTTACACAAATGGTCCCTGAATTATCGAATGTTACACAAATAGTCCCTGAATTACTGACTGCTGCACCTATAGCTCATAGATTCTGTAATGATACACAAACCTCTTTTATACCAATGGAGATCGAGGGCATTTCTAAGTCAGAGAAGAATTGCTACGTTCTCGCTTGCGAAGACGATGTGGAAATGACTGAAGAGAAAAGACGCCCCAAAAGAAAACAAGAAGACCCCGGATACAACATCTTAGAAACCAAACGGAGAAGGGAAACACAAACCTCAGAAGAAGACTCTGAGATGAATGAGGGAGACGTCTCTGATGAGTCTGATTTGTGATACTTTCTTGTTTATTAATGACGAAGATTCAGAAAGACATAAGGAGGACGACAAGGTTAAAGATTGCGTGAAATGGTAAGAGGCAAAAAGTGACACTGATAAGTCACTGGCACTGATAACATGTCATATCTCTTGTTGCCATAGACACCCTCTGTGCAACATGCTATTCCTACCTGTCAGCGCTGGCCACGATGGATAGTGATATTTTCATACTAGGAAAGAAAATCTCAAGACAAAATTAAATTACGATAAAAACAAGTAACAATAGCAATAACTGAATAACAAAATCCCAAGTCATGAGGAAGTGCAGAGATGTTTCCGTAAGTTAAATAAATACCAAGAGACAGATCTTGTACCAGGGCTGCTGACGGAAGCTGGACACTGGGAAACAGCTCTCACACCAGAAAGGTTGATGAGTGTATGTTACCAAGAGACAGATCCCATAGCAAAGATTCTGACGTGACAGGGACGTAGAGAGCCAGCTCTAGCAACCATGAGAAGTGTAGTGATATAGTTGGCTGGTTCCTACACCAACATCCTGCTCGTGTTTACCATCACACAGGAAGAGATAGAGGAAGAGGGGGGAGGGGAGAGGAAGAGGATTTCGGGATCTGGCCTGTCTCCGCAGGTGCCTCCCACGTCACTCCTGCAGCGGCTCTGGCAGCAACCACACGACCCTCAAACCCATCGCTACTGAGTTTGATCACCGAAGGGCTCTTGAGAATAACAGAGGCTACCACATATCATTTTGTACCAGGCCATAGAGACAGTTCTTTAGTACCATCACTGATCCACAGGCGTCAGCTAAGGTCACCAATCGTGACAGAACTCACGAGAAATTGGCACAAATCTCAGAAGATCGTCGTAGGTCCATTGGGCTTCAAGAATCACAAACAAGCAGCCCCGAGGCCATCTACGGCTAGCAACGGTCAAGGAGGCGACGCCGCTCTAAAGCCAACATGAGATCGGAGAGAAGAACAGTGATATCACTGATCCTATTGGTCTTCCGGGTCTTCGCTTCCTCCAGTAGCAACGTCACATCCACAGGTGAGTGCGTTCACCAGTACCAGGGCTGTATATAATGCAAACATCAATGCCAATGTTGCTAGCGAACGAGCGCATCAAATTATTCTTCTATATAACGTATAGTAACATCCAGACTTTATTTTGTATAGATCATGAGTAACGTTAAAGGACTGTGAGGATACAGCGGCTGAAATGATGTGCATCTTGATTTAGCTGTTGTGAAGCTGGAGGCTTTATGAGCAGTTTGTGAAGCTTGAGGCCTTTACCAGAAGTGATACTTGATTTTTGTATAAAGTTGCATAACTGAAGTTCATATATGCACAGTGAATGTCTGTAGGTTGTAAAGCTTGTATGGTATAAGCAAGTCTGTAATAATGCAGGTTTGACATTGTAATAATACAAGTGTTGGAGTACGATTGTGACAATGCAGGTGTTGGGGTAAGATAGTGACAATGCAGGTGTTGGGGTAAGATTGTGACAATGCAGGTATGGTTGGCAGATTGTAGGGTGGTTGTCGGGTCGAGGCTGGACGTGTCTCGCAGCAGCAGGGTTTCCGGCATCACCTCCGCCATCATTACCCTCAGCCTCCACACCACGCTTCCTTTAGACAACTTCACTCTCCACCTGTTCTTCAGCGACACCAAGCAACCTGTTGACAACTCTTCAAGCGATCGTAATAACAACTTCAACAGCTTTCTTAACGACACTAGCGACTTCGTCGAGAAATCTAGCGAATTCGTTAGTCACGCTTTCAATGATTCATTCAAGTACTCATCTATTAGATTCCTCTTTACCTCCTCCCACAAGACTGATTCCTACTGGCAGATGTTTGAAGTATCGAAAGACAGCATCGATCAGACAACTCGCAGACTTCCCATGGTGCTGTACCTCAGCAGGTTCCACAAGACCATTCTGGTCCTCACTCCGGGGTCAACTGGTCTGAGAGTGTCTGATGTCGACGGCGACGTCTGCTGGAGTCTGGCGCTGGGTCTGCCTGGCCACCACTTCTCTACCGTGCACTGGTGGCTTGAATGTCCGGCCCGTAGTTACATTGTCCTCCACACCTGTCTACCTGCAGGTAAGTACCAGTACAGGTAATTCTTACCAATATAGGCACTAGTATACCTCTCCGTGTAAGCTCTTCAAAGGGCAAAATATATATTATCAGTGGATAAATGTTCACGTTATATTATATTTTAATTATTCTTATTAATTATAAGTAAGTAATTATCAAAAGATTATTAATTATAAGCTTTGCTTTATCAGTTCTCAATAGTGACACAAAAGGAATGTCATGCCTCTCAGCGAATCTCATGCCTCTGTTCTTCCATTTACGATAAAAAACAATAGCTGCTGACTTGTGTGCCAGTTAACACACATTTTTAAACTAACATTTAATTATACACATGTTCTGCATGGCGAGAAAAGGAGTTCTGATCTGTTTACTTATGTTTATGTTACAGGAGTGATATCGAGCAGCACCTGTAATCCCAACCAAGATTGTGGCTGCCTCGCCGGGTCAGACCACAGCCTGTCCGGGAGTGACCATATTTGCTCACACTTCATATGGGCTTGGAGTATCGCTGGGATTCTTGCTGTGTTGGTCGTCATCGTATGTGCCGACCGGTGCCGGATAAGGGATCCCAATGTGGCGGCGACCAAGAGAGAAAATGTCGCTTATAGCCCCCAGTACCTCTATAATAATCCTCCAGAAAGCCAACTGGCGGCAGCCAATACCAATCTATCCAGGTCGACTGATGACGAAATGCACTGGTTTTAATAGAATTGAGGAATGTCCGTGCTACTTGCTAGCCACAGCAAGTGGCTAGTGTCCACTCGGCCGGTCGGCCGAGTGGACAGCACGCGGGACTTGTGATCCTGTGGTCCTGGGTTCGATCCCAGGCGCCGGCGAGAAACAATGGGCAGAGTTTCTTTCACCCTATGCCCCTGTTACCTAGCAGTAAAATAGGTACCTGGGTGTTAGTCAGCTGTCACGGGCTGCTTCCTGGGGGTGAAGGCCTGGTCGAGGACCGGGCCGCGGGGACACTAAAAAAGCCCCGAAATCATCTCAAGATAACCACTCAAGATAACGGTAGAGCGACGGTCTCCCTTCATGCAGATCGGCGCTCAATCCCCGACTGTCCAAGTGGTTGGGCACCATTCCTTCTCCTGGTCCCATCTCAAATCCTTATCCTGACCCCTTCTAAATGCTATATAGTAGTAATGGCTTGGCGCTTTCCCCTTTAAATTCATTCATTCATTCGCTTCATGTAGGTTCAGTCCTCGACCATCCAACGGGTTGGGCACCATTCCTTCCCCTCCGTCCAATCCCAAATCCTTATCCAGACCCACTTCCCAGTACTATATAGACGTAATGATTTGGCGCTTTCTTGTGATGGTTCCCTTCCCTTCTGGCTGATCAGTAAGCAAATCTGGTGACCTTAATAACGTTACAGAGGTTAATAGGACTTAATCCCAACACTAGTCCAAACATCAACTATTATTCTTAGCTTTATCTTCCCATTTAGGTTGTTGCACCGTACTATACAATATACAAAATTTCAGAGAAGTATGACAAAAGTTAACTGAAAACAAGAACTTCGCATATCTTCTTCTTCTTCTTCTCGAGAATAGGTGCAGTTTGCATGAAGGGTTTACCCTCCCGATGACTGCACCAGGACAAATGTAGGGAGATGCGTTGACGTTAAGGAGGAGAAGCAAGTCAAAAGTGTTAGATGTGACGGGTCGTAGAGAGAGGAGTGGCGACGAAAACAGAGGGGGACGTTAGAGGGAGACTCCCCGCACTGTAGGGCGGGGCGACGAAGTCACGGCGGCAGCTGATCAGACGTGAACTAATACTTTTCTGGGAACTTGTATATCGGAAAGCGCAAGCAGTACGCCTCCCAAATCACCCACGTGTCATTGGGCACCTGGCCACCAGGCGGCACCTTGCCGAAGCACCCCCTCCAAAACAGCAGAACCCGCGTCCCCGGGAGCCGGTATCACACCCACAGGCGGGGGCGGGACATGGACCTCTACCGGGACACCCTTCACTACACGTAGCGCAGGCGACGGCCCGACACCCACACACACCGGCTCAACAACCCCAGGGGCCACAGCAGTCACCTGACGTGTCGCCGTAGAACTCGCCTCAACAGGCGGAGCAGCAGACAGGCAATCAGGCGCCTCAGGCACAGCACCCACTCCGCCCTCAGAACCGTCCGAACGTAACAGGGGAGGAAAATCCTCCGCACGAAGAACATGCACCCGACCAGTTGCTCCCACGTCGCACGCAGCAGCCAGATGACCCTCGTAACCACACCGATAACAGGTGCGCGGTTGACCCCGGTACTGGCAGCGGAGCGTGTAGCCCAACACGGACATCGACGACGGTACACTACACTACAGCGACATCGTCAGGGTGCGGGAGCCGTCAAGCATACCAACACAGTGCCCGGCAACGACCTTGTTCCAACGAACACTTAACACTGTCCCAAATCGTTCAAAACAGGAGGTTAAAAAGTCGTCCTGAAATTCGAAGGGGGCACCATCACCGTCACAGACGTCAAGGTGACACTAAAATTCACCACCTTAACGGAGCCAGCAGTATCAGGGAGAGGGTAAACACGCCCCTCACACCGCTCGAGAAACGCCTGAAAGGCAGCCTGGAGGCGGAACTTGACCACAGCACGGTGGCCCTGAAGCAGCTGGATGCCCACCAGGTCCGACAGCTGCACATGTAGCACGTCCACCAGGGCGACACCAACCAACGAATGGTCCACCGGCACCGTAAACGCGAGACCAGCCGACAACGTCCTCTTCATTGGAAGGCGAGACGTCCCTATGGCTAAGTCGAACGTCACCCTGTCAGTGGCAAACTACCACCAGCAGGGCAAACAAGCAATCACCCAACGTAAACACTAGCCAGGAGCGAAGAGACCTCAGGAACGTCCGACCTGGCCGGCGGTCACCACGCAACTCACTTCGCATATAATGAAATATTAATAAAGAGATATTTACATTGAAAAGGCAAGAGTAAAGTGGGGATATGATTTATTTACTCTTCCCCCCCCCCCCCCTATATTTGCGTCTGGGATGCTTTCTGGAAATATGGACTTAAATAGACGACGTAAATTAAAATCGATGTTTTCATAACATTAAATTTATGTCCGAAATTTACGAATGAAGAAGGTAACAAAGCAAGTACAAGTCAGTCGTACTAACCATGCTGTTGTACTGTACTACCATGTACTAACCATCGGTGTTGAGGCTTGGCGCGGGGGAAGTGTTACTTGTAGAGCTTTTCACACATGACTCTTTGCCTTTTCATTTAGGTCCTCAAATAATTACAGTCTTTATGCTTACAAGCATCAAGAAGCTGTCTTCATGATGTTGAATCTAAACAATTAAAAAGTCTTAATCTTGTTAAAAGCCTAATGTGTCTTTCGTAACCTTTGCAGCATTTAATGGGGGGTCACATATTTATCACTTGCTCTTACACCGTTAGAGTTCTTAACAGTTATTCACAGTCGTAAGTGTCAGGCCGAGAGCTGATACTACGTAATACAGACCATTTTGATGCATAAAATCGATTTAGAAATTGTTCCATCTCTAAACTGATGGTTTTGTTTTGAGAAGCAACTATCACTTGACGGACCCTTTCCAGTAAAGTTTGTCGAGGGGGTTACTAAAGTTCTACAGCTGTAAATGTAAAATAAATGAGGGCGAGACGTGCGAGTGTCCACAATGATAACGTAAACACTGAGGGAGGTCGCTTAGGGTTTGGCGCCCTTCCTGGATACCATCAAAAGAAAATGGAACACAAATAATTAATTCTAAATTTCATACATTTATATATTAAAATAAAAACATTACGTAAATCTGACTGGAAAGCTGTAAATCGAAAAATGGTTGTAAAAGTTCATTTGACAAATACTGAAAGAGAACGAGTCAAATTGTCATAAATCGAGGCTCTGAAATATACAAATAAATGGAAGGGCTACAGTGATAGGGTGCTAAATTTATCAGTATGAACTATAACACAAAACAATAGATACAAACTGAATAAGGTTACATTCATATAAGACCTGAGTAAATGCCAGTTTGGAAATAGGTTTCTTGACTTATGGAACACGTCCCCGTGACGTAGTGCAACCCGTACTCGACTCAAGTCCATTACATCCAGCGGTCGACCCCACAGACGCATTCATAAATTTTTACATGCTGTTCATTAAAAAAAAAAATTCAAATATAAATTAATATTATAATATATTAGCATATTGTGCATATATAGGCTTAGGTTAGGTGTTTAGGTTCTGTTGGCGATTATTTGCATTTGTAGTACGTGGGTGAAGCATTTACAGCGTTGTGAACGAACAAAATTCGTCAGCGAAACACTTGTTCCGGAAGTGAACAAGTGTTTCGAACACTTCCGAACACCGGAAGTGTTCGAATGTCAACAGTTATCAGTTGTATGTAAACCTTTTTTCATTCATAAACCGGGGATTTGGCGGTTGCATGGAATCACTTGTTGGTCTTTGTTTGGAGGACGGGCTGCATAGTGGTATGACACTCGCCTGGGTTTCCGCGAGCGCTTTGTCCTGAGTTCGTATCCTGGCCGGGGGGGGGGGGGAGGATTCACTGGGCGCAAATTCTTAACTGTAGCCTCTGTTTGCCTCAACAGTAAAATGGGTACCTGGTTGTTAAACGATTTGGCGGGTCGTATTCCGGGAAAAATTAGGATTAAGGACCTGCCCGAAACTCTATGCGTGCTGGTGGCTGTACGAGAATGTAAGAACTGTTGTGTATATATATATATATATATATATATATATATATATATATATATATATATATATATATATATATATATATATATATATATATAAATAAAAAAGTAAATAAATATAAAACGTTCCAAGGTAACATAATAAACGTATAGTTCCTGTATAGTTTTAATCGTAGGTTAGACGTATATACGATAGGGTGAGGTTAAGTATAAATACGAGCTGCTTTGCATTGGCCAATAGGCTTTCCTCAGCTTTCATATGTTCTTATTTTATCACACATCCGAAAATACCTGTTTTTTTTATCTTATTTAGTATTTATCTAAAATTTATTATTTATCTCTCTTCTGAAAAAGTTTTCAACACCATATTTTCATCGATAACATTGATCATAACATCCATACATCTCGACGAATCATACAACACTAAATACAACACTGAAACACCTTGTCAACATTATAGCCTAGCCTGGACAGCGACGTTGTTATAGATTCAGCTACTCGGAATAAGTTCGAAGTAGCACGGGCTATGGTGAGCCCGTAACTTACCTGGCACAGGAGCGGGGCAAATAACACGGGCTATGGTGAGCCCGTAGTGGACTTACCTGGCACAGGAGCGGTGCTGACTCGTGTGTCAACTGCGACGGCAAAACCATCGATTAGATAAGCGAACAGTTAGTTGCCCACAGCGGGTGAGGTGGTGTGCACATCCCGGGTACCAGTGCTGTGGCGGCAACATTGCTGGCGACGAGGCTGGGCGGTAATGCAGTTACCAGGACTTATGTTAGTGTGTTTGGTGGCAGCTTCGGCCGTGGCATCGTCAGGTCTACCTACAAGTGAGTCTGAAGTGTCTATGCTCTTCGTGGACAGTTTTCTCTAACGAAGCGTGCTCTTGGCAGGAGGCGAGGGGTATCTTATCTAATCTCTATCACAAGGATCATTGCAGGAGCTGTGGCTGAATGGTCCCAGACACTAACTACACTATCATCTCAGCTGATGTAAAGTTTCATACTTCCTCTGCACCACGCTAGCTACAGCCTCGTATTTTACAGCTCTTGAGTTCAATACCCCGGTCTCCCTTATCTTGAGGTTATCTTGAGATGATTTCGGGGCTTTAGTGTCCCCGCGGCCCGGTCCTCGACCAGGCCTCCACCCCCAGGAAGCAGCCCGTGACAGCTGACTAACACCCAGGTACCTATTTTACTGCTAGATAACAGGGGCATAGGGTGAAAGAAACTCAGCCCATTCTTTCTCCCCGGCGCCTGGGATCGAACCCAGGACCACAGGATCACAAGTCCAGCGTGCTGTCCGCTCGGCCGACCGGCTCCGGTGAACAAATTAAATGAAGCGTTATACAAGCAAAAACCAGGATTTATCACAAGACACCGATTTCGATGATTGATGAGTCTGAACTCTAGCACATCCTGTGTGTGCAGTATAAGTGCTATCGTGTACTGGGCACAAGTACAGTGTGTGCAGCACACACGACTACACTCTGGCAATGTTATCTCTGACTTTGTAGTGATAAGCAGTGATGAACAAATTACTTGTGAACAAGGCAGCTGAAGTCTTAGCCGCAGGAGTGACGGGTTAGAGTTATCTTATCAGCATATGTTCACGGTATCAAAAAATATACTTCAAAAGTATTAACTGTTCGCAATCTTTAGAAGAACATAATCATGAGGTCTGACTCAGCCTTGACCTAGGATCTCATTTACAAGGCGGTATTGTTGACTTTGTTAGCTAAACGTATCTACTATCTTGGTTGCTAAACGTATCTACTATCTTGGTTGCTAAACGTATCTACTATCTTGGTTGCTAAACGTATCTACTATCTTGGTTGCTAAACGTATCTACTATCTTGGTTGCTAAACATATCTACTATCTTGGTTGCTAAACGTATCTACTATCTTGGTTGCTAAACGTATCTACTATCTTGGTTGCTAAACATATCTACTATCTTGGTTGCTAAAAGTATCTACTATCTTGGTTGCTAAACGTATCTACTATCTTGGTTGCTAAACGTATCTACTATCTTGGTTGCTAAACGTATCTACTATCTTGGTTGCTAAACATATCTACTATCTTGGTTGCAACCGCCTCAACACTTATTGCAGAGGCTTCAGAAAGTGTCTTTCACTGCGTGGGGTCACTGCATCCACATGACATAATATTAACAACTATAAAAATAAAAATAATAAGACTAGATATACTAATAATGATAATGTAAATACTACTACTACTTCTTCTACTACTATTAAATATAATAATAAACAAGATTGATTAATATATTTTTTGTAATTCATTCGACATAAATTAAACAATTGAATTTATGATGTATTGATTGGTGTATGGTGAGGCGAGTACCTCAGTGTGACGAGACCCTCCGGCAGTCATGCCCCGTTGGTCGACGTATAACAGTCTGGCTCCCGTTGCACCTTACAGAATGCTCATGGATTCTCCTGAATGGCACAGACGTCGAGGATTGGTCGCCCTCCTTCCCGTTGTCTGAAGTACATAAGATCGCTCTTAGACATCCTGTCGCTGATTGGCAAGAGTTCTCCTTTGGGTTCGAGCTCTCAGACACCACTCCTGTTGCATTTCTAAAGTTTCAAAAAAGTGGAGAGTCCGCTGTACTGACTCTCAAGAGTATTACCAACAGTGAAGGAGCTTCGGGTTTCCAGCGCGAGCAGCAGGTAAGGCTGCCCGAAGAGGAGTCCCGGCAGCTGTCTCTCAAAAACTGGACTTTCATCTCCTTCGCGGTGAACGACGGACGACTCGAGGTTGAAATTGATGATGCGGACGCCGTGAGGTTCGACCAGGTGGATGCAACACACTTCTACCAAGTGTACGTTCATGTGTCTCGCGGCCACCTGGTGGACGTCAGCTTCAACTGCTTCACCGGTAATTACACACACTTACATATGATCACTATTTTTGTCAGTATTAATTACCATGTCAGTTGATTGCAATAATAAAGCTCTACAAGTTCTGAGTTGAATAACATGACTAAAACTATGTATTTTTAATTACACTGTAGTTCTTTACAGTGAGATTTCACAGGCATAATATGTTTTACCCAGCAGAGGGAGAAGTGACCTACCCAGCAGTGAGAGAGATAATTTACACTACAAACGGAAAGATGACCGCAACGTCTGCCCCAATAGGAGGGACAGACGACCCTCCACTTTCAGGAGACATCTCCGTTGGCACCACCATTACTGTCGTCATCATCCTCCTGGTGTTGTTCGCCGCAAAAGCTGGACTCTGGTACCGGAGGAGAAGGCTCAACAGGAGGAAAGACGAGGAAGTGCCCGGTGATGTCAATGTAGAGCGTCCGAAGCCAGCTGAGATGAAACCGCTGATGTCCACACAAGGTGCTGCAGAAGCACTGCATGGCGGCCAGGTTGTCACACAAGGTGCTGCAGAAGCATTGCATGGCGGCCAGGTTGTCACACAAGGTGCTGCAGAAGCACTGCATGGCGGCCAGGTTGTCACACAAGGTGCTGCAGAAGCACTGCATGGCGGCCAGGTTGTCACACAAGGTGCTGCAGAAGCACTGCATGGCGACCAGGTTGTCACACAAGGTGCTGCAGAAGCATTGCATGGCGGCCAGGTTGACACACAAGGTGCTGCAGAAGCATTGCATGGCGGCCAGGTTGACACACAAGGTGCTGCAGAAGCACTGCATGGCGGCCAGGTTGTCACACAAGGTGCTGCAGAACCAGAGCATGGCGGTCAGGATGTCAAGCCGAGTACTGTGGCAGTTGCACATGGTGAACAGGAGACAATTCATGACATCAAAACTATCTTGCAAGATGGTGTTGTTAAAGACACCGATGAACGACAGAGTATAGTACCAGGCACTATGACTGGCGATATGCATGAAAACAGTAACACTGACGCAACTACGCAATCTGCTGAATCACCAACAAACAATAAGATAACAGACCAAAGACTGATTCTTAGTATGATAGACATTGCAACACCACAAACCCAAAATAATGGTATTGAAGAGTGCAGAACTGACAGCCCAGTTGACACCATATTAATGGGTGCAGAGAATCGCGGTGTTGAGGAAAGTTGTCAGAAAGTGGAAGATGTTGACATCGTTAATAATACATGTTATTATGATGAAGTAGGAGTAGAGCCTACTGAGGAGATCATAATGAAGATAACAGGTCTGATGCTGGATGACAACACAGAAGAGAATACGATATCTAGGCTATGTATGGTGACATCAAGCAACCAGACCGACACCGAAAGTTTAACGTGTACACCAGGAGGGAGGCAGCAGTCTCAGGCTTTAGAAGTGAAATACAAGGATGCACAGGACCTAATGCAAAGCAGCAGTACAGAAACAAATATTCTTAGGGTAAATACCACAGCAAAGACAAACACTGCCGACAACGTATCGATAGATCAGAACCTAATGGCCACACTGCCCTCAACAGCGAAGTCCTCGGATACAGAACACAGTCCCCAACCACCTGGTGTAGTTAGAGACGTGCCCCGCGATGCTGCCAGCGACAAGGCGGATGAGGAGAGGAGACGCGAAAACGCTGAGGAAGAACACAGTGCCCAGGAACTCAGGGCATCCACAAATGACTCGGGAGCATGTGTTAGTACGGCTGGTGTTTCCCGAAGAAATACCAGTACTCCAAGAATGCCTCAAGATGAGGAATTGCACTCTGTCGAATCCTGGTTAAGCATACAGAAATATCAAGAATCTGGTTTAGCATCTGAATACCCTCAATCTGATTCCCAATTAAAAATTAAAAAAGCTAAAACTAATCGTAATAAAATCATCGCATACGATGACTCTCGCGTGAGGAAAAACACCTCACATCGTAGACCGCCACCTTACCTGTGACTAGTTAAGGACGAGATTCACAGACACCATGTGGAAGGAAACTTTCTTATACCCAATTACTAAGCAGCTTGTATTTCCCAAACGGGACCCAAAAAAGGTGAAACGGGAATTCCTCGTTCAATGTTGAGTGAGAACAAAGATATTTAGTTATTGCGTATTGCGTCTTCTCATGTATATATTTCATTCCAGTCACAATTCTTAGTATCGTCATTTGTATGGGAGATTAGTGATTGATTTCTGAAGACCAGTCTTCAAGGTGATTCCATATTTTCAACAAGACGTGGTGGGAAGAAATCACAGTGTGGGAGGCGTAACGCACACATTCCCTGGCACCACATAATGTGCTCCAGAGACTCTCTTGAAACTGAAGGCCCAGAAACTATTTATTTTTTGCTTGAGTGAAAAAACTATGAACTTACAAAAAATCTAGATTTTTTACTTTCATTATTTAATTCGCCTGTTCGGAATAAAGATTATAGCCCTCACATGTCCCATACATGTCCTTAAAACTTGTGTGAAAGACTTGAAAATCAAATTCTATCATAAACTTGAGTCTATGATTGAATCAATGCTTAATTGTGTTACACATTCTGACCAACTGTGAACTTGTGACCCACTGTGAACTTTGGAGGTCAAAGACTAGCTATACGGTGACATTAAGACAGCCCATCTATTGGCCAGATGTGTTTAGGTGAAGGGAATAATAAGGGCAGTGCCAATAAAACCCAAAGGCAACTGTATTCGCGAATATAATAATAAGAGTACGTAAAAATAAATCACCACAACGTGATATATTTCTATGAGAAAATATTTGGAGCAGGACGGGCATCGCGCCAACGCCCTGGATCACCTTAGATGCACGTATTTAAAGGACATCGTGGTCCAACGGTTTATCCAAGTTACAGCCCCGTTCCTGTGCCAGGTAAGTCCACTACGGGCTCACCATAGCCCGTGCTACTTGCCCCGCTCCTGTGCCAGGTAAGTCCACTACGGGCTCACCATAGCCCGTGCTACTTGGAACTTTTTGTTCCCAGTAGCTGAATCTTAAACAACAACAACCCAACGGTTAAGGCGTGAGTATGAGGAGACACGGGACGTTCGATCCCACCCGGCCAACCGGGCCGCGGGGACACTAAAAAGCCCCGAAATCATCTCAAGATAACCCTCCTGCTCCAAATATTCTATAATAATAATAATAATAATAATAATAATAATAATAATAATAATAATAATAAAGCCTTTGCTTATTAATCATTGTAATGTAGCGCATCCTGAAGCTCGCATATCGGCAAATAAAATCATTACCTTCAAGACTCGTTTACGAAAACCTATGCTCAACAAATTTGTAGCGGAAGGTCTGGAAGACAGAATCATTAATGCCACTTAAGTTCCCTGACAAAGAGATAGGAAGTGTTTACTGTATGACATAACTCGATGGGTATCTCTTAAACCTTAGCAAAAATTATTCATACCTGTCATTTAATAAAATTCTTATGAATAAAGTTAGCATTATAAATAATATTCAATTTATCATATTTAAGTTGACTGGAGTTAATGTTATTCATAATTTAAATAACCTTACCAGATCTTAGAGCAACATCAAGGGCTAAATTGGAATGAACTACTTAATTAAAATTAATTAGAATGAAAATAAGACTGAGGCTATGAATTCCTAAAGAGAGAACCGTTCCCCGGGCTCACAGGGGGACACTCAACTTTGATGCCGCACACAGACAAAATTTTTGTCAAAATTTTTGTTAACAAATCAATTTTCCGAAGTGTGATGATAATTAACAAAATTCATACAATACTCAACAAGATATAGTTTGCCTGGCGTAAGTCATGCAAGCAGTGAAAGGGTGTCAAGCGGCCTCCTGCATATCACTATCTTTACAAATCTCTACCTCACAATCGGACGAGAACCGCGACCGATCAGCGGAGTGGTTATCGTCGATTGCCTCGTAGATGTGCTGTGATTGTGGCCTTTTAATATTATTACGCTTCTTCTGGTACAAAAAAGACGCTAGAATTCTCCTTGAACGACTTAGGCCGCAGGTAGTCCCCCTCCATTTGGCTGCCTTCGGCGGGAGCGTATTGCTTCAAGTCAGTAGAATCTATGTCATGTGTCTGTTTGGTAGTCTTGGCTCGCTCCCAACAGCAACAAACGATGAAGTTGCATTGCACCAACTTGAAAATCTGTGGCCGCGTCCTCCACCTTTAGCATAGTGAATAAAACAAGTTTCAAATGAACACTGACAGAACCTTATGCTAGTGAAAGTATGCACTGGAGCTGAGCCACCATAAAATACAAGGAAATACATATTGAAATTATTTTTACAAATGATTTACGATTTACGTATCACGGTGATGTCAAAGAAATATCTACACGCTAAAAAATCAAACATCTTACTTTCATGTGTTACAGTATCACGAAGTGTCTCCCACATGGCGAGCGCATTTGTGCATATTTACTGACGGAGCCTCAAAGGAGTGGCAACGGGGCCTGCAGCCAGATTCACGAAGCAGTTACGCAAGTACTTACGAACGTGTACATCTTTTCTCAATCTTTGGCGGCTTTGTTTACATTTATTAAACAGTTAATGAGCTCCGAAGCACCATTCGGAGGCTGTTTATAATAATAACAACCGTTGATTGGGAAATTTTCATGCTTGTAAACTGTTTAATAAATGTAACCAAAGCAGTCAAAGATTGAGGAAAGATGTACACGTTCGTAAGTACTTGCGTAACTGCTTCGTGAATCTGGCACCTGGTCTCCTGGGTATAGATAGATCAGGGAATATGTGATGGTGGGTGGAGAGGATGTTATGTTGCTGGAAGTGATTAGGGGCGTGGGGGGAAAGGAAGATACAAATGAAAAAGGAAGGATATCAGAGCATGCTAGATAACAAGAACTATACTGAAGAATATTTTGTCTATAGAATTATTGTAAATACACACGACATGGAACCAGTGGATTCAAATAACAGTCATTCACATTAAAATGCTTGGATTATACCAGCTGTATAAAGTTTGAAAACAGCAGCAACTATGATGCCTACCTATCAGTAGGCCTATCGATGGTACTATCTGTAGGCCTATCGATGGTACTATCTGTAGGCCTACTGATTGCACTCTGAACATTAGTACAGAGGGAAGGAACGTGCTACCCTTGTGTTCGCACCCAGTGGTAGTTTAATACAAACTAAATTTTGTGACCCAATTCATAGCACTGAGGCGCAAAATATATAACCGAAAAATATTTCATTTCAGACTCTTTATCCATATTACTCTAAACAACCAAATATAATACTACTAGTTATATAGGGCTCCAAGAACATAAGACTAATGCTTCTCTTAAAATTATCCTAAATAAATGAAATGTCAAATATAACTTGAAGCTTGCGTTTACACAGCTAAAAGAAAGTTAAAAAAAAAGATGAGATGCAAATGAGTTTGAAATGAGTAGAGAATTACAAACAGTAATTTATCATAATGAAACTAAAGTAAAGCATACATATATGAATATATATATGATGCAAGTATGACGATTACCGGACTGTCAGATTTAAGCTTAGGAGTGCAAGTGTCTCCTGGTAACGAAGCATGTAAGGATATCTCAACCACATATTATGTAAAGTCGAATTCACGGTAGCACGGACGCATGGCGAGACTCCTCTGTTCGACCAGCCACCGTTGTTGTTGTTGTTATAGATTCAGCTACTCGGAACAAGTTCCAAGTAGCACGGGTTATGGTGAGTCCGTAATTTACCTGGCACAGGAGCGGGGCAAGTAGCACGGGGCTATGGTGAGCCCGTAGTGGACTTACCTAGCACAGGAGCGGGGCAAGTAGCACGGGGCTATGGTGAGCCCGTAGTAGACTTACCTGGCTCAGGAGCGGTGACCAGCCACCATATACAACTGATTAAATAGTCGATCAATGCAGGTCAGCGTTCAATCCCCAACCGTCCAAGTGGTTGGGTACCATTCCTTCCCCCCGTCCCATCCCAAATCCTTATTCCGATCTCTTCCAAGTGCTATATAGTCGTAATACCTTGGTGACTATATAGCACTTAGGAAGGGAACTCCTGATAGTTCCCTTCCCTTCTTCACTGCATCTACATTTCCTGCAGGGATATTACCTTTCCCTCATCCCCTTCCACCCACTCTTCCTTCCCTTCGTCCCTCGATCTTTCCCTTTCCTGTGTCTTGCACAAACTATCACCCTTCTCCTTTTGAACACTGAACACACCAGACTCCCCTGTACTGTCCCCCCTTCCACACCCTCCCCATCCTCTTTCTCCTTCCAGTCGCCTTCTACACTTCCGTCTGCATTTATTAAATCTTTTACAACAGGACGAGAGAGGAGCAAACACTGATCCCAGACACTGAGGGCCTCATAATTGCTCGTCGGATCCGGCTGTGACTCGCGCTGACGGACGCGGAAGGAGGCACTGCCGGAGGCACTGGCAGAGGCACTGCCGGGGGCACTGCCAGAGGCACTGGCAGAAATGCTGACAGGGACTGAAAAGGGGAAATTATCGGGAGAAAGCGCAAAGCCATTACGACTATACAGCATACGGAAGGGGTCAGGATAAGGATTTGGGATGGGACGGGGAGGGAAAGAATGGTGCCCAACCACTTGGACGGTCTTTATTGAACGCCGACCTGCATGAAGCGAGACCGTCGCTCTACCGTCCAGCCCAAGTATTTGGACTGAGAAGCTGAAGGAGATTCAACAGTAAAGGCAGGACGATAACTGCAAAACTGGCAAAATTCTGATGGTCACAAAGTGAACAGGAAGAGCTCACGATAGCCCGTGCTACTTGAAACTTGTTCCGAGTAGCTGAATCTATAACAACAGTCTTCTACATGTTACGGGCTATTCATGCCCGTGCCAGCTCTGGGGTGGCTTAATCTTCATCAATGAATCTTCTAAATGGACATTTCGTTCTGAGTAGCTAAATCTAAAACAACAACAACAACAGTCTTTCCTGTATTCCTTGATAATGATATTCCTTGACACGAAACGTTGGGAATTTTCACTTCATTTTTCTGTGATTATGCGTAAGTATCCACTTAATAATAAACAGAGGGCAGAAGACATAGTAAATAATGCTATGTCTTGTGTATTTCTTGTGTGGATAAGATTCCTTATAACCTTTCTTGATCTGCTCCTCTACGTCCCTCTATTTCTCTCTCTTGACACAGCAGTGTCAATTCCTGGACATGCTCCGTCCTCTTTGACCCAATAACATCCTGCTTCCTAACATCTCTTTTCCCTCTTGACATGCGTTTCCTTTTTTCTACCTTCTCGTTTCTTTCACTCGAAGCCAGCTGCATGTTTCTCCTCTCTCTCCCTCTCTCCCTCTCCCGTCTGCCATATCCAGGTAGCCGGCGCGGCAGGGGGTGTGGTTGAGGGCTTTCATCCTCCGACCTGCAGGGTCACCATGCGAAGACTCGTCAATAGAGGCGGTCATTCAACGTT